AGAAGGGGGGGGGGGGAAATGAAAGGTTTGGGGGGTGATGTTTGCAGTCTTTCCCCTCTCGCTAGTGCCCTGTGTGTGTCTGCGTTCCTGTCTCCCCCCCTCGCTGAGGAATCTCTTTTCAGTGCCTCCTGTGTCGGGAGCGAGGGCTGCTGTCCTGTGTCCAAAGTGGATTAATGGCCCAGGAGGAGGTACCAGTGACAGTGGGAACTGGGAATTAGACACCAAAGTTAGGAAGAAAAGATCTACAAATAAATGTAAAAACATGCCCGCAAATGCAGCATAATTAATGGACTGAACTGCACACGCCCGTGTTTGTGCAAGGCAGAAAACAGTCCCCGGCTTCTGGCAGCTGTCTGCAGGACCAAACCCCCCCCCCCCCCCCCGCCCAGGTGGTGAGTAAGCCTGCTTCTCCCCCTGGACTTTAGCCGCCGTGATCGTAACTCAACACTTTGGTGCCATAACGGCTCGTGCACGATACCGAAGTCCCCTCGCTTTTTATGGGGATGTTTCGATGAAAAGCCGTAAGCTCGCTGGGGCGGCAGGGTGGCGCTCCTTAAGGCTCTATCACATGGAAAGTGTGCAGAGGGAAGGGAAGTGTCACTGCAGGCCATGTGGAAAACCGCGGAAGTTTCTTTTACAAATAAGCCCCAATTTAGTGAGCTGCCTTTCCCTGTAATCCTGATTTATTACTATCTTCATATCGCATCATCTTTTATTGAGCATCATTCCCTCTCTCTATCCAAGGGCGTAGGTTTGGGTTTGAACAGCATGCACATCTTTCAACCAATACTGTGGGAGCATCGGGCATGTTTAAGGGGCTTTGGGGATGATTTGTCCCTATCAGTGTTAAAACTAAAACTACGTCCTTGTTTCTATCCATATCATTACACGTTTTCCTGAATTTAAATTCAGGTTGCTGGAGATCTGTGGCATTTTAATACCGTCCTGCAGGCCGTCCTTTTTTGGCGTAAAGACTTTGGTTTGAAATGACACAATCTTCAGACCTTGGATTTTTTGTTCACGGCTAATGTTTTGACTTATTTCTACTATTCCCACGGGGCCTGTGTGGTCATTAACTAACTCGATCGTCTGCGAAGCCCAAGTCAAACAGTCCAGTGCTTTGTGACGGGTCGTCACGCCGCCATGATTAAATTTACAGAGGTGTTGCACAACGCGGGACAAGGTCCCGACAGCCGTATAGGTGCGTATTTTTAAAATCCTTTGTCTTTAAGCAGTCGGACTGGTTTCCTGCTGGCCAGTGACCAAAGAGTCACTTTGCCTTGGCGCTGAGTGACAGCGAAGTGTTGGAGTGGCTGGCGTAGGGGTGGGGGCTGCGTCAGATTTCGAGGTTTATGAGACAAGGCTGGAAAGTGCTTCATTCCAGAAGAAGTAGAGAGAGGAGGAGGTGCTGCTTTACTTCCCGCCCCTGAAAGGAAACCGAAGCAGGCCCCTTTTGGAGATGTCCCCTCCGGAGGCGTCCCTAGAAGTCCCCCCCCCTCGCTGCTGGGGCTTTTTGCTGGAGAATCACCTTCCTCTTCATCTCTGGGCCCCCCACCCCCTTCCCCACATTCATCTCTGTCGGTTGGGCGTAAAAATGACCCGAGACTCCGTGCGCTTTTAGATAAGATCAGTGCGTGAAGCATCTTCTGCCGCGTGAGAGCGGCATTCAGATGCCTTGCAGCTGTTGGCCGGTTGGCATTTGCTTTCCCTGAGAACTCGAGATTACTCCGTCTTTTATCACAGCGGGGGGAGTTTTTCAGATAGATTATTACTGGAATCGACTTTTCCTTGCGTGCCTCAAAGTCTTCAGGCTTGGGGTGGAAATGTGTAGCTGATTACTGAGGGGACATGCAATCTCCTGAAGGGTAGAGATGCCTGGATGATGACTAGCCGACTGAACGTCAAACGAGGAGGATAGAGGAGAGGAGGACGCAGGTCTAACCTTTTTCTCTGGGAGTTATTGTTTGGCTGTTCTCCGTCTCTCTATACAGAAGCATAAACTTGCGGTTGGCGGAATGTAAACTTGGGATAGGTGATCAGAAGTCTGACTTGGGCTTACAAGGACACGCGTGTCACAGTTGCTGGGATTCCTGTTGGCATCCTCCTCCATTTGGGGGCGATTCCTCTGGTTGCCACTTTCCGGTCATCTTCGCTAAGGCACAATTCACGTACGCTGATGGAGAAATGGTAGCACGACCCGTGTCTTATAATGATTTCTGTTGGCGGCAGGAAAAGTTTAAAAAGTCCCGTAAAGAGGCGGTGTTTTACTTCTGAAACTCCACTAAAGCGTTTACACCTTTAAAAGTGTGCGTGTCACATATTTATTATTCTGCCCAAACAGAGATGCACTAAAGGCAGTCACGCATTGGCCCTTTTTGGTGCCAGGAGTGCGCGAGGAGAGTGAGGAGAGTGAGGAGAGTGAGGAGACCTGCCATTTAAGAAGTTTCCACGTCAGTCCTCACTTGTAAATAATTTCTTAACCTCTAGGACCCTGAGCTGGATAATGCCTTTGAAAAGATTAAGAAATTAAATGAGAAACACCAGGCCTAAAATTGTTAAAACAAACACGCAGTTTGGAAGCAGTGAAAACAGATGTTCTGCTCTGAAGGGCGGGATGTGGGGGCTGAGGCTTGAATCGCGTTCCAAATATACATCGAAATATCAGGCAGAAGCTCCATCCTCCTGAGTGGAAAGAGACCTGCTTGATTTTGCAGTTTTTCTTCTCTCATTTCTTGGTGCTGGACGGTTTCCTCCATCTTGAACAGAAATAGGTGACTTTCTGTGCCTCGTCGTCACTGTCCTGACCTGATGAAATTTTAACGCAGAGTTGTCACCCCTTGAATGTGTATGTTTTTATTTTTATGCACCCAGACATATTGCGTGTGTGTCTGTGTGTGTGTGTGTGTGTGTCCGTGTCCGTGTCCGTGTGTTATATAAAAGGGTCTAACGAAAAAACAGGAAATGATGAGGGCGAGAGCCTGATTGCCGCTGCTGCCTCTCAGCCTAATCGCTCTATTTAGCCTTGATTGGTCTTTAGCAGTTTGTAGAAAGAAAGAAAAAAAAACCACAAGATTCCAGTTCCTGAGGAAGTCGTGGCCGGCTTTCGTTTGCGCCTTTCCTCTCGTTTTCGGACTCTGCTCGGCGATAGCGATCCTGATGATGGCTGACCCGTCGGCCGCACCCTCAGGGAGATTGTCGATTGCCGGCACCGGCCCCAGTGCTGAGGAATGTATCAGATATGGAACAGGCCACGCCCCCTGCCTTAATGTCACCTTTGTCCCCCTGCTTTGTGATGAGGGAGTAGCGTGGTTCTCCCTCACCGGCCACGGGGGTGTCTCCCGCATTAGTTCCCCGTCAGGAAGCATAGTTTGGTCCTCTGTCGTCGTGTGAGTGGGGGCTGGACTGTGGCACCATCCTCGGGCTGACAGACAGGTGGTCTGTGGGCGGGGCTCTGCACTCTGGTGCTGGCAGGTCGCCCCCCCATCGCCTGCTTCTTTTATCTACTCTGTGCTGAACCTGACCTCCAGATCTAAGAGCATCCCCTCACATTCGGGCCAAAGGCGTGAGCTGCGCACGGCGTGATCCATCATGACGAGCTCTCAAATCTCACCGCTCTCTGGCCTCGGAACAGTCAGATTTTCGCCATAAACTCTCGCCTGGATCCTCCTTCTGGACGCAGATGGAGTGGGGGGGGGGGGGGGGGGGGTGGGGGGGGGGGGGGGGGGCAGGTTCGGCGGGGGCTGCATTTTCGGCTGGCTCTGTTTTCGGAGCTTTGTGTTGGGAGTCGAGCCTCGCACCCTGACAGCCAGGAAACCAGCTGGAGGCCCTGCATCCAGTATCCAAGACCCCATTGAATTTTGCTCCTGTAGCTAATCCTGCTCTTCATAACCTTGGGAAACGACCCCCCCAGCCTCCACCCCCCAGCACGCCCAGACTCACCATGCATTCCCAGGAAAACAAGACATTTCAAAAAATCCTCCAATTAAGGAGGTTCTTCTTTAGCACGCTGCCATTCACCCTGTGCTTCTCACCCTCCCATGCTGTCAGTTCAGGCCAAAAAGCCTGGGGCTGGAGTTAGCCCGTGTCCCAGGTGGCGGCCTTGGCGGGGCAGCCGGGGGGCAGGGTGCATACTTGGGCGTGGCCCCGTTTCTGGGTGCTTCCAGGTCATGATGGGATTGCTGTCTCCTGCTCACCTCCTCGATCACCCTGACTGACGGCCTCCCCGTCGCCGGGAGGATCGGACTCGGGTGTCGTTCTGCCCGACGCCGCTGGCTGCGTGTCCCAGACGGATGGCCACTCCCATTCCGCCATTATTCTCTGGCTAAGCCCCGATGCTCCTTGAGTTCCCAGGCAAACCAAAAGCTCCCTTTGAGCCTTCCCTCCCTGTCCCTATTGTGAGGCTCCCGCTCTTTAATTACCCTTTCTTTAATCAGTAGAAATGGCACTCATTAGCCTGCTCCCGGCCGCACGGCCGGCCTCATTCAGCCTGCTTCGCCTAATTAGCGCTCCTGTTCTTTCGCCCCTGTGGGAACTCTGTGTCCCGCTGGCTCCGCAAATCAGGAGACCCGGCACCGGGCCGGCCCGGCCCGGCGAGCTGTTGCAGGTCCGTGGGCTTCGGTCCGGAGGCGAGGTTGGGTCTCGCTGGGCCGTCGAAGCAGAACCGTAAGATCAAGCCAGGCTGAGGCCCATCGCCCTGCAGGAGCACCTCTCCCTCTGTAGGGACCATGACCCTGTGAGGCTCTGGGGTGGAGGTGGGCGGGTTGGGGTTGCTGTCGCCTGGAGTCACACGTGGCTGTACTCACACCCACTGAGAAACCCTGACCTGGGGCTTCTTTCGGGGGAGGGCTGAAATGGCTCCGGGGGGGTTTAATGGAAACCTAATACAGGAGGAATGGGTTTATCCTTCGAAGAACGCAGGATGTTCCCAGGGAGTGTTCTCCACCTCCACATGGTTGCTGAGTTAAAGCCTCCCCCCTCCCCTCCCCTCCATTTACGGGTATTTGGTTCAGGCCGCGCGCCGCAGGATGTCGGCGCCCTCAGCCACAAGGCCCCGAGCAGAAAAGCAGACAGGAGGTGCAGTTTGAGGTGTGCAGCTCGCTGGCTCAGCCTGCACCGGAGCCCCCCCCCCCCCATTCCAGCCGCTCGTCACACTCTCAGGGTGTTTTTTTCCCTTTAGTCTTCGGCTGCAGGAACTCCCTCCACCTCTGCTTTTCTGGTCCCCCAGTCACCTCACGCCTCGTTAAAGCGATGAATCGCGCCACAGCTGAGTCCATGTTCCCCCTGCGTGACGCTATGGACGGGGGCCCAAAGAAGCCCTCGGGGCGTCCAGCTGCCCAGGACCCGGCTCGCGTCTGCCGGGCTCGCGTCTGCTGGGCCAGCCACCGATAGGATGTGAGATACACTGACTTCCTGTGCCCGTCTGCGACGGTGCTACAGTGTCTACCAACGGCCAGCAGTGGCAGATAAGGGCCGCGAATGGAGCCCCCCGTCTCTCGTGAGATAAGACGAGGCGTGCTGGCGATTGGCAGAGGGAGGTGCTGCTTGCGGCATCCGTGCCAGGGTGAGGCTGTTTATCAAGCGTGAGGCTGTTTTCTGGGGGGAGGCCGTGTCGACGGGAGCTGTCTCCTGACATGCTAGGACTTGTGCAGGAAATGAGATTTCAGAGGCTCCCTCTTTGACAGGGAGCTTGCAGGGTGATGCGGGGGGGGGGGCTCAGGGGGCTCATGAGGGGCGACGGGCGGGAAACCAAGGGGCTTGGGAGGGGCGACGGGCGGGTATCTGGGGGGCTCGGGAGGGGCGACGGGCGGGTAACCAGGGGGTTCTGGTGACTGGACCAGTAGGATATAGCAGGAATGTTCTGGGATTTTCACATGGCTCTGTGCTGATTGCCTCTTGTGCATGTGGGTGTTTCACAGGTGTGTGGGTAGGGGGTGCCTGCATTGGGCCCTGCTCCCCTTAACGCCATGGACACTCTCTGGACACTCCTGTATGCCGCCCTGTGTCTCAGCCAGGCCCCGCCCTTCAGCTGCACCGGTAAGGAGTGGGGGTTGGGGGGTCAAACGGTCAGCAGCGTAACAGAGTGTGGTGAGTGGTGGGTTCTGAAGCATGGACCCTATCCCCCTGCAGACACATCCCTGTCCTTCCGCTTGGAGCCGCTGTCCGTGGTGCAGAGGCCAGGGGGCCTCGTGCTCCTCCGCTGTGCGGCCCGGCAGCCCACAGCCCTCCTGTCCTGGCTCTTCCAGGGGCGCCCCCTGGATTCCGGGTCAGCAGGGGGTGCCCTTCGCCTCCGGCCCGGCCTGCTCACCCTGCCCTCACTGCAGCACAGCCAGGCGGGCCGGTATCAGTGTGTGGCACGCACAGAAACAGGGACCATCGCCAGCCGGCTCGCCCGTGTCACCGTGGCAGGTAGGTGACTGGTTCCCTGCCCCCACCCCCAAACATCACTGCCCTGTCCCAGCATCACAACTGTATTCCCCCTCCCCCCACCCTTCAGAAATGGCCGACTTCGCTGAGTCACGGCGACGTGCCGTCACAGTGGAGCAGGGGGGAGCCGTGCTCATCGCGTGTCTGATGCCCCCCAGCACCCCCCCCGCACTCCCCCGGCTGCGTGTGCGTGGGGAGTGGCTGGAGCAGTCCACAGGTATGCCCCACCCCCTTGTCCTCCCCCCACCCGGTGAGACTTCTCATGGATACCTACAACACTTAGTACGTTTACATGCACACTACGAAAATCGAATTATAGTGATAGTCCCAGTAAAACCTCACTTTTAAAGTACATTTAAACGTTAGTCCGAGTCATCGTAGTAAATTGAATTTCTTTTAGTCGGACTAAGACAGCCAAATAATACAATTGGGAGTCGATTTACTCCTGCATGCATGCGTTCAATCGGACTCAAACTGGCCTAGGCGCTCTGCCCGTGCTCCACAGTCCCCCCCCCGGGCTTTGACCCTGAAGTAACAGAAAATCCGGAACAGAGAAGAAGCACGGAGCATAGCAGAGGACGCACAGCACATACGAAATGTACAGCGCTGTAAAGCTGTCCAATTCTACTAAACTAAAGGGTGCTTTTCCACCGCACCAGGTGCTGAACTTTCGGTACTTCGAGAAAGTACCGAAAGTACGGCACTTCAAGCTGTTGGTTTTCCACTGGCGTAGAAACTGGTACCGGTGCCCAATGACGTCACGCAAGGGGGGGTATTTTGTACTGAAGTCAAGAATTGGCTGTAGTGTGTTATAGGGCTGGGCGACATGCAATATTAATACCAACATTGCATGTTTTGCACATCCGATTCTTACATCGCTAGTCAGCGAGATTAAGATCAGCCTTTTTCTTACCTGTTATTTATATTATAGCTTAGGGAGTTTAAGTCTCGCAAAAACATTTTTAGTCTGTCATAGGAAAAAAAAAACCTAGCAAGTCTTGCAATTTTAATGATTATTCCTTTTCAAGATTATCTAGTACATGTTTAAAAATCAGTTTAAAGTTTACTTCTGAGACAATCATAATCATTTTCATCCTTGCTGTTTAAATCACTCCTAGACGGGTTTGTGAGTAATTTATGTCGAGCTCCTTTTTTTGTTTCATAAATACCCCGATATTTATTACTACAAATTTACATTGCAATATTTGAAAAAATTCCAATACCGTGCTGTCATAGTATATTATACAAAATACTTTATTTCTTGTTATGCTATTCTGATCTTGCTGTATCTGTTCTTCTGACCAGATTGCAATTAAAGCTTGTGTCGCTTCATTTGTCCGCACAACCATTATTATTAATATGTCTGTGACGTAATGGGTCAACTGGAAAAAGCCCAATACTAACAGGCTGAAAGGAGCCATATGGCCACCTATCACAGTGGAGTGGCGTAGCCGCACTATAAATGTAGCTGGACTTTGCTGTGCATGTAAACGTACTGACTGATGAACTTGTCACCCGATGGAATTTTCTGCAGATGAATATTTAATCCTTCCGTCGGGGAACCTTCAGATTGCGTCGGCCTCCCCCCACCACCAGGGGGTGTACAAGTGCGGGGCCTACAACCCTGTGACTCAGGAGACGAGGCTGGAGACCCACGGCACCAAACTCGCTGTCAGGCGTGAGTGTGAGGGCACGGGTCAGTTGGGGGGGGTGGGTGGGTTATGCCATGATTGGTGGCTGAACTGCCCTGTGTTCTGTGCCCGCCCTCCCTCCCATGCTGTAGAACCCCGGGGGCTCTCCCCTCTGCGGCTCATCCACCCCCTGGTCCCCCAGACGCTCGTGGTCCAGCAGTCTAATGACATCACCCTGGAGTGCATCCTGGAAGGAAGTCAGGCTCCTCAGGTCCGCTGGACCAAAGATGGACAGGAAGTGGCGATGGGGTCTAGCCACAGGATGGTGCTAAACAACCTGCTGCTGATGGGTGTGGGTCCGAGTGACAGCGGGACATACCAGTGCTCTGCCAGCAGCCGCACGGGGGGCATGGTCACGGCAAACTACACCATCGTCGTTCAAGGTGCAAGATGCGAGTCGATCCTGGTCCTCTCCTCCTGTTCCTGTAAGCATCATGTCAGTTACCGGCTCATGTCTCCTCAACAGAACCCGCCTCCGTGACACAAGGCCTGACCGACCAATCAGTGCCTGTTGGGTCTTCAGTCGTCTTCACTTGTGTGACAAAGGGAAACCCCTCTCCCAATATCACATGGCTGTTCAACTCCGCCCCAATCATGCCATCGGCCCGCCTCCAGATCTTTGGCTCCTCCCTCCATGTCTCTAATGCCTCCGGTGAGGACCAGGGGATGTTCCAGTGCCTGGTGGACAACGGGATTGGATCTGCCCAGTCGACTGGCAGACTCTCCATCCTCTCAGGTGAGAATTGGGACAATGTATAGGCTCGCCCTTTGCATGTTTCAGCACAGGGGATGATAGCGGCTATATGCTCTCTGTGCATCAACATAGATAACAGCCGCATGCACCGTTTACATGATGGATCAGAAAGTGTTGTAGTGGTGAAGGACCTGAAGGTTATTGGGTCACGACCGGGAGATGTGCTGCTATACCCTTAGACAGAGGTTTGAATTCCTTCAGTGTAAATCAGTAGTCACGTGGCTGCATACCCTATGCGTACCCCATCCTGTGTCATACTCTGACGCCAGTAATTACATTTCTGGGAAGGTGAGAGTCAGACTATGACATAGGGTATGTGGCTACCAATGGAGTAGATTCTACGCAGAAGAATAAATCAGCCTTAAATCAGCCAATGGAGATGCACCGAGCATTTCACCTGTTTTTTTTCACATCCTTAAATATGTGCAAACCTGATAAGGAAGGTTTTCACATTGACAGTATAAACCTTTGGTCAAACTGAGCTTTTGCTGGCAGGCTGGTGGTTCAGTGAGGCTTGTGGGAGCTGCCGGGGATGAGGTGGAATGTGTGTGGGGGGGGGGAATATGACGGAAAGCAGGGCCTCTGTCTGCTAGCACACCCGTTCCCAGAAAGCCTGGAATGCTCTGCCTGTCTGCGGGGTGCTTAATGGTAAAGGGGGGGCAGGTACATTAAACCACACGGGTTCCCCTGCAGTGACCATTCAGTAACCACATCAACACTAACAGTGAAAATGGGGTTTGACTAAGAGGTGCCTCATTTACCAGGTAAAGTGAAACATTTCGGGTTGTGTTTATGTGTCTTATTTTTTTTAGCTCTGAGCTCCAGGCCACAGATTTGGGCGCCCCCTTCAGGAGGGCACTTTCTGGAGGGGGCCCCGGTGTCCCTGTCCTGCAATGCAAGTGGCCAACCTCTGCCTGTCATTCACTGGTACAATGCGGCCGGACCCATCGCCAGCCACCCGTCCCGCCTCCTCCAGCCGGTAGAGGCCACGACCAGGGCCTTTCCTGACGTCTCCCCCTACGTCATTGTGTCTCGGCCGGGCAGCAGTTTACTCTTCATCCAGGCTGTGAGTGTGGCCCAAGCGGGAAAGTACACATGCGAGGCCTCCAACAAGCTGGGCTCCGTAACGGCCGAGGCATCTCTCTTCGTGGGTACGCTGTTGCCTCCGTTACTGCTGCTGCTTTTGTTCCTAATCTTCTTTTCAGTCTTTCTCTCACCTTCGCAAGCGATGGCTGTTTTTTTTTTCTGCTGTAGCTCTGACTCCTCCATGACCCTGCATGAACGTGTGATAAATCACAGCGCAGGCCCTGTGCTCTGTCCAGCCCCGAGCTGGGGGGGGCAGAGGAGTGTGTGCAGATACATCCCTGAATGCAGAGGAGTGTGTGTAGGGGCTGGATTCATCCCAGCATGTTAATGGCCGGTGTTTAGAGTTTGTGTGACCCCCTCTCTCCACCCCCAACCAGCTAACGCTGAGAAAGACCCCCCCTCATCAATCTGCATCCAGTCCCAGTGTGCCGACCCTCCTTCCTCTACATTTGTCCTTGTTGGTTTAAATACCGAGGTTTGAAAATTCAATTACCCCCCCGGCCCCCACCTTCAGACCTGCCCCTTCGGGGCTCTGCCCGTTCAGCTGCCGGAGCCTTCGGACCTAATGGAGTTCCCAGACTGCGGAGAATTCCCGCATGAAGGTTTTACGGCACTCCGCACGGCAGGCCGAGGCTCTGTGTGGCAGTGAGATGTTTTGCCGTTAATTAAATTTCTCCCACGTGAAGCTGACCGCTGTTGCCGAAGAGGACGTCAGGCTGACTCAGAGAATCATTACATTCTCTGCGCCTTTATCTGCGTTTTTAAAGGCTGTTTGCTTTCTGAACTGAGGGCTCCTGTAGAAGTAGTTGTTTTTGGAAGCTGGTTGCCCATTTTAATTAGACGCTATGAAAGTAAAATGATACTTCATTCCTTTGCGTACGATCAGACTCTGAACACGCGGCTTAGATTCTAACGTCGACCCCGACAGGGCCTCCGGCCAGCAGCACGGTGGGTCCCACGTCGAGCACGCCGCTTCCCAACAGCCCCGTCCAAAACGACGAAGGGGAGGAGCCACCGGGCCAGGAGGAAGGGCCGTCGTACGAGGTGGACACGCCCGCTGAAAGACCGAGCGACCTGCCCACCCCAGAGGCTCCCATCATCACAAGCCCCCCCCAGACACACAGGCATGATGCGTATGACCTGCAGTGGCGGCCGGGGAGAGCCTGGGGACGCCCCATCCACGCTTACTTCGTCCGCTACCGTAAGGTACGAGCTCTCACGTCCAACCGAAACATCTGTCAGCCATCCGAGCTGCAGATGGAGGGAGCTGGGCTGTTCTGTCACTTCGTCGAGTTCGGGGGCAGAGGCCCTGGATCCCAGTCATACTGCCATCAAACTGGCACGTAACAGCCGTTTGAATTGACAGCCCACATTGAGGGTGTCGGATCACTTTGTCATTTCACACATGGAGCAGTATACAGCCAGAACAGGGAGCAGCTGAGAAACGACAAACACTGAACACTAAATACTGAGGGGAGCATATATAAGGATGAATTGAATAAACGAATAAAACAGTTTAAAGTACTATAAAAAACACTACACAACAATGATGATAACAACAATAACAAATAATACAAGCGAACAGTGCATGTAAATAGACTGCAATGATAGGAACAGTGCCGGGCAAATGTGTATTTATGGAGTAGGTGGGAACTCTGATAGCCTGGGGGGGGGGGTATCAACTGGCTATAGGATCTGAGGGTCACTGTGTGTGTGTGTGTGTGTGTGTGTGTGTGTGTGTGTGTGTGTGTGTGTGTGTTACGCAGCTGGACGATCAAACCAACGTGGCAGGCAGCTGGCATACGATCCGTGTTCCTGGCAGCGAGAAGAGCCTGCGGCTCTCGGACCTGGA